AAGACTGTTTCCGCGTCCAACCAAATGACATTCCGCCAACAAAACCATTGCCGCAATAGTCAGAACTCAGAACTACTTCAGATCCTGGTACTATTTCAGTTATTTTATTAACCGACTTCAAAAAAAGGAGGAGGTTCTCAATTCGACTGTTTTTTTTTTTTTTTTTATGTTTGTTAGCTCAGTACTTTTTAATAAACCAATAACAGATACTTAATTGTAATGACAACAATCAATAATTTAGATTAATATAACTATAAAGTAACAAGAATGAATATAAAGATATAGGAAATTGTTGACAACCTAACAGATCGAGGAAAACTACTCACAAACATGAGCTTGCGGAAATACAATAATGCAACATGCACATAAATGCTTTTACTGGACGAATAAAAAAAATAGATATCGCATCTGAAAATCAGATTGTGACTACGTATACGTGTAACTATTGATGACCAACAAACCATAAATATACATGACGTAATATATTAACTAAAAGTAGTAAAGGCTAAAAAATACAAAAGAAATAATTGAAGAAACCCGATCCACTATCATAGTTAAGATTAAATCTCACTATGACTGCCTCGGTGGTGCAGTGGTAGCGTATGCGACTGCTGTTCTGAGCTCTCGGGTTCGATGCCCGGGTCGGACAAAATGTTCGTATGCTCTGCTAATATTTGTTTCGGAGTTTGAGTGTTTTCTATGTATAATATGTAAGTATATATATTTATATTTACAAAAGAACAATATAAGTATTCTATCAGTCAATCTAGCTTTCATAGTACAAGCACTGCTTAGTTTGAAACTAGATGGCGTTGTGTTGTGCGAAATATTATTTTTACCATAAGTCATAGTCATTAAAAAACCTTTATACCTTATTCGTGGTGACCCACTTTAATGTCAAACTTGACTAATCAAAGCTGCTCTGATTGATTAAATTGCTGAACATGTTATTCTTTTAATGAGTAAAACGTATAAGTAAAGTTTAATACGTTTACGTTATAAGTTTAGATACGATTTATTTATACGTTAAGATTTATCGTGACATTTCGACCTACATATTATATACTAGCCATAATCTGGCCACGACCACCGCATTCATATTGTTACCACAGCAGATATAGTTTCAACGCGTTTATTCAAGATACGATTATCAAAAGCAAAGGCGCTCTCGGTAGTAAAGAAATTCTACAGTAAGGATTTTTGATAACTTTTTTTAAAGACAACTCCCGCACTAGGAATAATCCTTTGTCGCGGGGGACTTTACCAGCATACATGAAACGGATACAAAGAACTCCCAGACTCAGAACAACAATTTGTGGATCACATAAAGTGTTGTCCCATGTGGGGATTGAACCCACAACACTCAGCGCAGTAGGAAGCGGCGAGGTGACCGCTTAATCTACTACGTCATCCGTGCTGTCGTACATGGACATAACTGGTAGACATAACTCCTTCCTCAAAGGCTGGCAACGCGCTTGTGATTCCTGAGTTGCAGGCGTTCATGGGCGGCGGTAGACCGGTAGACATCAGGTGACCCGTCTGCTCGTTTGCCCCTATTCCATAAAAAAAATCAGAACTAGCTGATCCGCGCAACTGTGTCAGCGTCTCTCAAAAGGAATAAATTTTCCCAGTATTTACAACATTTTTCACTAGTGATTGGATCCTACTGGTCGTAGCGTGATGTTATAAAGCCTTCCTCGACAGCACACTAAAATAAATTTTCAATTCAAACCAAGTAGTTCCTGAGATTATGTCGAACATACAAACTCACAAATATCTAGTAGTATAGATTTACAGCTAACTAGTCTCCACATACCTAAAGATATACTTTTATGTACTTATTATTAGCTGTAGGTACATTGTAGTTGCATTGATTAGAAAAAACGGACTATGGACGTCTATGGACTCCCGATCGGAACGAAGTTCCTTTCGCTTTTTTGTGGAAGTTTGCTATGCTAACTGAAGTGTCGAAAAAAAGTCTAGTTACACATTTTTCGGTCTCGCTCCCAGTCGCTCAGATCGTTCCAATAAGGAATAAAATTAACGCGAAAAATAGATAAAAATATTTTTTGAGGGGGGTTTTAATCATATCGTGTCAAAATTTCAGCTCAATCGGTGCAATAATTTTGAGTTTTTGAAGCGTACACAAACTTAATACTTTTATATAATACAAGCCTTTGCCCGTAGCTCCGCCCGCGTGTATGTCGGTTATCGCGGTAAAAAGGTAGCCTATGTTACTCGCTGATAATGTAGATTTGCATGTACGCTTGCATGCAAATCTACATTATCAGCGAGTAACAAACAAACAAACTCACTTTCACATTTATAATAAAGTTTGGAACAAAGGTGTTTATTCTTTTTTGTGAGGTAATTGAGTTTCATCATCGCTTCAGCCTATTGCCGTCCACTGCTGAATGAAGGCCTCCCCAAAAGAGTGACATCCATCCCGGTCTTTGGCAGTCAGCATCAATCCGCTGTCAGCCATTTTCCTCACGTCGTCGGTCCATCGTGCCGCAGGGCGCCCTACACTACGTTTGCCCAATCGCGATATCCACTCTAACACATGTCGGCTCCAGAGACCATCAGTCCGTCTGGAGACATGACCGGCCCACTTGAGTTTCATAGTAATTTTATTAATTGTTAATCAAATGAACTGAAATGAAACTGATGGACGTGAATAATCGAGTGGTCACGTTCATCCGTTGACCATCTCGCATGACTTTCACACATAAAGGTTTCTATTTTGAGTTTTTTTTTAATCATGGAAGAATAAAGCAACATTAAAGCCTTAGTAGATGGCCGTTGCTATACTTGCAAGGACATTAATACTAGCGTTCCAAAAACCGTCGTCACTCTCGTAGTGTTTCTCCATATATATTGGCATATTAATGGTATGCTATTAGTTGACGGTATGTGCTATACGAAGCTGCTAACATCAATTATGAATTTGTTTCTTGGTGAACACTTGGTGTACACCAAGAAACAAATTCATATCATCAGATCATATCATTCAGATTAATAATCAGCTGAAGATCTAGAGCCATTTAATTTGTTGAAAAACTTTATTATAGATGCCAAAGTACCACCATTGAACGGATTGATGTTGCTCGCCCTTCTGAGCGAAGGATGTATTGACACAGAACATCTACTCGTTGGTTTTCATACAGAATAAGGACACGATTAGTGTGGTACATGACGAGAAGAAAATAAAAAAAAAGGTAGATAAAGAAGAACCTTCTATCTTACGAACTTGCCACGACTGAGTCAGTCAGCCTGTGAGCATGGTGAGTCCAATCTGATTGAAACGTCGAGCAATTCAAAAGTATATTATACCTGTGACGTGACCGCGTTAATATATCATGTACATCATTTTATATTTTAGACTGCGAAAGTTAGAAGTAAGGTGAGATTTTGGTTCACACCTGATTTTTGGTAACTCACGAGGCTGGTTACCGTTACTCTAAATTAACAATTAGTCACATGAGTGCTCAATGTGAAATGATGACTATAGTACCTAGAAATGTGGTTCTTTTGGTCGATGGCGTTGAAAGTACACGTGGGGAACCACACGGAATTGTTTGATGTAAGTTATCAATAATAACACTGTTCATGAAATTATAAAATCACGGACCTATAGTCCATTCGCGTTAAGAATATAGCTACGCAATAATAAAGCATCAATCAAGCCTCGCACCCTGACCAATAGGGTTCCAAGCTTTCGTATTAAACGATAATTTCTGTGAAGCTGATTGGTCAAGGGTTGGACTTGATCGATGCGTTACTATTTTGTTAACGCGAATGGGCTATAAGTTCTTAGCTCTTCGTCACCTCCTTCCCAGCATATCCTATCCTCAATTTAATGACGTCTCAAAATGAAGTTGCGCCTATTGAAGTAGCATGGCGGATGGATTTACAATGTGTAATTTTTTGTGATGAGTTCTAGGTTCACGGCGGTATGAATAATAATGCGAATTTTGTATTCACGTAAACTACGATTTGTATGGAGATAAAAAGCTTCGTCTGATAACGTCGTCCAAGATGTCACTATTAATTTTTGAGAAATCAGAAAGGTTCTGTACTTCCCGAGCCGCTTTGTATGCTCGTAATTACATTTTCATTTGGTGACTTTATTAAGGTTTGCCTTTAAATATATATATATCACGTTTTAGGCGCTTAGATGATGGATGAAAGGTCGTAATATCAATAAATATAACCGTTTAATGATAGCTTTAATTTTGTGAAGTACTATAACAAACGACAATTTAAAAGCAAGTTATATTTTAAATATGTAACTTGCGCAGCTGTCCTCTTCACTTTCATGAGCATTGGAGTGAAATACGAACATTGAATCGCTCACAATACGCTCTGTTATGGTAAGTAATAAAGTACAGACTACTATCTACCTAAACACTCTATCAGATCCAACTTAATTTTATACTCTGTCCGACAATTTTTATTATGTCTTTGTCTCGTTTATGTGCACAAAGTATAAATAAATAAAAAAAAAAACAAAAAACTACTAACTAACTTATCATGGGAGAGCCATGCTTCGGCATAAATGGGCCGGATTGACCTCACAAAAAACCGGTGTTAAGCAGTTCTGACGTTGCTTTTCACTGAGTGAGTAAAGTTACTGGAGCCCAAAACCCTCTACAATTTCTGGAGAAGATGACTCAATAGGCAGCACTTGTGACTAACAAAAAGTAACTAACATCCATAATAAGGTGTGGTTTATTATTACGATAACGTATACAAAGCATACACGTAAAATGTGTGGAACTACCTAGTGCCACTAGTTCACGAGATTTTTGTATCTGTGGTATGTGTTGATCTAGTAATAATATTAGTTTCGGATATCTAACACATAAAGAGTGTCAAGTATGAAATACTTTAATAAAACTACATATATCACATTCTACATATACTTCTAAAATAATATCAACGAAACATCAGCATTGAACAATAGAATTCAGTATCAACTTAAAAACAATAGTTTAACACTAAGTAACTTGAACCATTTGATTTTCCAACTTTTGCTTAGACCAAAATTGTATAAGTTGTTTTCTAATTTCAAAGGCAATGACAGCTATAGCCATCCCAGAATTTAAACTGTCAACGCCTCTCTGTAAGGGAATATTTAACCTTAAGCCATTTTTATTGGCTGCTAGCCTGAAAATGAAAAAATATTTTGATTAAAGCGTTACACATTCGTTTTAACCGACACTCATAGACTGTTTCTAAATGGAAGTAAAAAACTAAAGTAATACACCAATCACGAATTTTACAAATCTCATTAGTATAGAGATTTTTGATTGTATTTTAAATCGTTTTTATTGAACAACGCCTATGTCGTACAAGAATAAATGAACGTAATAATGCAAACATGTCACTCTCTTCTCACAGAAGAGCTTGCTGAAAATTACTTTTGACAGAATCAACTAATCTCTTATGATGAGTTCCTAAGAAGTCATTCACTTTTTTAAGAATTTATTTCATTTTTGGGTGCTGTATTAACATGGCAAATCATGCATGTATGTTTAAAGTTTCTATAAACATGCCTTAAATTTTGTGTGTGAGTACTTACGAATAGCTCTCTTCACTAATGCCTTCAGTTTCACCACCTAAAATTAACGTAGTATGATTCAATGACGAAAAATCGATACTGTAGTAAGGAAGTACAGGTAAATCGTTTAGTTCCAGTGAGTGATTTTCTTCTGAAGTATCAACTGTATTAGTGTTGCTATCAGCAATGAATATGCTAGTATTTTTTTCTAGATGACTTGACATATCACTCCACTCTATTGAATGGTAAATAGGAAGTCTAAAGTGGGCTCCCGCTGCACTTCTGATAACTTTTGGATCCCACACATCAACACACCCTGAAATGATAAAAAGATGCTGCTACAGTATATATATTTTTAGGAAAGACAACTATGCTATGCTATTCTATCAGGTGACCTTTCTGCATGTTGGCCCATCTTCCATTAAATAAAAACAACTACTGCACTAGGAATATATCCTGTCCCTTGTAGGGATCTAACGCACAATACTCGACTGACTTAAAAAAACCCCATACAATACCTATAATTAAAACAGGTGCATGTTTATTGCTCATGTTAGTAATATAAAAGGTATATAATTATATATTGCTGCTAATTCAACAACTGAAATTCTAATGATGAAAATGAAGGAAATAAATAAGCATTAATAGTGCAATCCTACATGACATTACACAAAAGAACTAGCAAGGACTCCATGAACTGCAGTAATCCAATTACTATTATATTATAGTTATCAACAACCTCTAAGAGTCCACTGTTTGAGATAACCGTCTCCTTATAAGAAGGCTTCGGCTTACTATACCACATTAGTTGCTATAGGATTTGTTTCAAGTTTTCCTTCTCTTTGCAGTGCTGTTGTCCTGTAGAATTTGCTCTCTTAGTTGGCTCTTACGACACCACCGGGATGAATAACGGTGGTGACACTCGGTTTTCTTAATCAATCACAAGGACTATATTATAGTAATAGATTAATATATTTTGCATGAGAGTTGATTTCCTAATGAATCACCTTTTGTAAGTAAAATTTTCTCACAGCCTACACCAACAGCAACTCTCAGTATAGCACCAAGATTCCCAGGAATTCGAATATTGTCACATACAAGCTGTAGCGGCAAGGGTCTGGATAGAACCTGTACATTCTCTGCTGAGGGTGTTTGAAACACACCTGAAATTGAAAGTAACATTGTGAAATATTACAATATGTCAAGATTCAAAATGTAACTGCATTTATTTTGGTATTTATAGTTCATGTAGTAAATTTATTTCAAAGTTTATGATGACAAATTAAATAATTTATTACATTATATTTATTCTTACTTGTTGTTTTATCTTTGGTGTACAATAAAGATGTATGTTATTATTAAATAATATTAGTGTATAATTGAAACATATATAAAGAAATTTGAAACAAAAGATGTTTTTTGTCAAATATATCAATATTAATGAATTGCAATTAAAACATGTTTAGATTTATAATTTTACTAAGTAGCGTTAGGTAATATAGTTTTAGTCAACCATCTAAATGTTAATTTTTATGTCTCTGGAACATTAGTTTTTCTCACAATAGTAGGCCTATAAACTTTTTTTTAAACAATGAGTAAACAACATTTCATGAGAGAAGTCACTATGTAAAATCGTTACAATGATCAGATGTAAAAACATTACAATGATCAGACAAGGTAATGTGTGTTATTTGTGTTTGCGGTGGTTATTTGATACTGTATTAATAATTAACAGAGACAATGTTTACACTAGGACTATTTAATGAAAAAACTGTATTCCTTCTAAGGGTTTTAACACTTGACATCTACACAACTAATTTGTTTAGATTTTTTCATTTAATGTAATTTTGAACAATAGAACTACAACTTACCAAAAATGCCAGGACTTGTTTCCACATCAGACCAAAGTTGTACTTCTTTATATGGTATTTTATATAACATCACTCCAGTTTTAGGCAAAAATGGTCTAAGTTTATTTAAATCTGCTGTTCTACTGAAAATTACATACTTCAACTTGCATTTTGCTTCAAGACCATCTACAATTAATCTCCAACCTTCTACAAGAGTCTGGCTAGACCGTAACCTTTCCTTTTTATACTTCAACTTTGTCAAAAGAGTACTGTAAAGGATAATTACAAATTTATTAATTACTATAGCCTTATATTACTTTCCTGCAAGCCTTGTTTCCGAATTTTTATTTATTCATTCAAAGCATAATCAAATTTATAATAGTGATATACATAGCATGTCCTAAGCTACAAAAGAAGCCATCGAGTTTGATAATAATGCAAATTAATTTTTTTTAAGTAAAAAACAAAGCAGGACTACTTTGATTTGAGTTACAAGTTTCCTACTATTATCATTTATTTTAACCCACCATTCTCTATACACCATTGTATATACTACTTACTAGCATTTTCCTATGTTTCATTCAGAAAAAGCTTGGTTTATAGCAATGGGTTAATTTACTATTAAGTGAGTGAGACTATCTAGTAGGCAAAATGAGCCAACTGTTACTAATAACTATTTAGCCATATTTTCTCACCTTACTCTGGGATCATTTTCTTTTAGCTTTTCATATATTACATTACCATTATCATCAAAAACTTTCTGCTGACTTAAATAAAACTTTTGTTTTTTTAACTTTTCTTTTCTTTGCTGTTTTAATTGAAGAGACTTTTCGGGAGATAATGATGTTATATCTAGTTTTGCGGTATTAGGTTCCTTCGCTGCGTCTTCATTTTGTTTACCTTTGCTCAAAATTGTAGGGTCTAAGTCAATGATCTTTTCTTTCTTTAGGTTACTTTTAGAATTAGCCTCGAATGGTAATGAAACTTTAGAGGGATTTCTGTGCATCCACCTACTGTATGACCTCACGCAGTTGAATGGGCGTGATGGCTGAATCAAGACTTGATACAAAATACGTTTCAAAGATATGGACATTCTGGTTTCGATATAACCCAAATTTTCACTAAAACTCTTATTTAGCGGCTTGTTTAGTAAAACTACTGCATATATTTTATTGACAAGCTATTGTTCAAGTAAACCTTCAAACAGAAAATCTTAAGCAAAAGAAAAGTTGTTTTTAGTGCCTATGTTATATTACAATTTCGTTCTCATAGTAATGGCATTTTTAGCCTATCAAAACACATGCGGTTTGGGTTCTCAGTACACTATTTCTTTGAATGAAGTCAATGAATGAAGGTTATAGTTATAAAATATAAATCATAGAATGAATGACAGTAACTACTCTGACAGTAATGTTTTTCACACAGTCACACTACCTAGACCACAGAGTGCAGTAATACTATTAGAGAACCTACGGCATGCCATAGGCATAGACCGCATAAAGCAGAAGGCCAATTCTCGCAACTAAAGTTCGGTCACAATTCAGTTCCGATCAACTTTCGATCTCACAACTGACATAAAAGGTATTTTCTTAATTAATTATTAAACGTCCAACGGTGACTGTAATGTAATTATATCGTATTGTAATAGAAAATTAAATCGGTAATCTGCTAGTCTTAGTAATACTTTACTATTTTACTACAAAAATACCTTTTATGACAGTAGTGCGATCGAAAGTTGAATTGAATTGTGACCGAACTTTTATTACGAGAATTAGCCGTCTGAGCACATCACTTTTACTTCATCATTTTCACGCAATCTATTTAAAAGAATCATTTTATCAGATAAATCCTTTTTGAGAGATTTAAAAGTATTAAACTATCAAAGTAGACTAACCAAAATGGGGTACCAATTCAATATATTAAATGCTTCCAAGTAGTATAAGTTTTATAGTTTTATACCTGTACGTAGAACTTTGGATAGGTTCCAGAACTCCTTTTGATAGTTGTTGATCTCCTTTAGATTTCATTTTACTTAGGAACGTTTTTCCGTATTTGATATTTTATTACATAGCTATTCACCTTATTCACCCTTCAAACCTTCACAATTTAAGGGTTGATATTAAATGTGATAAGTAAGTGTAAAAATGGTATGTGAGCTTCATATTAGGTACACCTATAGCCAAGATTCTTTATTTATTTAATTTTGAAAAACTAAGAGTTTAAAACAAGATGATTTTGTATGTCAGATACTATAAAAGTTATATTGACTGATACTTATCTACTTTTTTTTAGAAATACACACATATTAGACATAGTAAAGACCCAAACTCCGAAACAAATATTTGCAGATCATACATACATTTGGTCCGCCCGGGAATCAACCCCGATACCTCAGCATAGCAGTTGCAAAAGCTACCACTGTATCGCCGAAGCAGTCAATGCACTTTACTTATTTATATCGTTAAAGTTCTTATCAAAACAATTTGATTCGTTTCCACACTCACCACGTTGTTCAAGTAATTAAGTAAAGATTAGGAATTTCCTTAACCAGATTCTTATTAGAATGGATGATATAAATAAGAAGAAAAATTTTGCTTCAGTTCAAACAACAAACAACAATTAATAAAGAGATTATTTTGGTTCGTGAATATGTTGAACTAGGAGATAAGGTTTTGTCCCGCAAAAGAAAGCCAAAACAATGGTAGTAACTGTTTTAACTATGTTGTCAAAATAAAACATCAAACATACTTTTAACACCTTATTACTATTTAAAGAAACACGAATCGTTCGTCGATATTAATTGTCGTTGTCATGTCTTAAGTTGAAGGCGTACGACATAAGTAATTAGATGCATTCTTGTGGGGGACCCTTTTGGTTCCACCCCCTAAGTTTAGTAATAAATTTGGTAACAAGTTCTGAACAACTTGCTTGCTAATGGTTGCTAAGGAACGGTTTCTTACCAAACATTTCATGAATATTATTGAATATAAATAACTTTAGTTCCTACCACAGAGTACATTGTAATATGGTTCCTACTTACTTTTTGTTCTTGGTGAACTAAATTTTTGTTGTTCTCGGTGAAGGAGTAGCTTAATCTGAGTAGTCTATGTCTATTCCCTGGTATACCAAAAAGTACTTTTATTTAATGTTATACTCGTATGACGCACTGTCTGTCTTAACGCAGTGTCCTCTCAGATTAAGAGATATGTAAATAGTAGTCCTATTCTTATAGTCTGTGACCTTCTTCTTTCTACGTACTACGTACAACGTATTTTTTATGTGAACAACATTGCATATTTTCTTATCATTCGTCAGCTGAAAATTATATAGTGGATGCGTGTCCCGTGTTTATTTATAAATCCGTCAGGAATCTAACAAAATGGCAACAGGAGTAAAACCTCGTGATGAAGAAACTCAACTCACGCGAGAAGATCTTGAAAATATACAAGATGCTATGAAGCAAAAGAAATTTCGAGATCTTCTTGCCGGATACTGCGAGGAAATAAACGACCCGGCGAACAAGGCACTTTATCAGAAAGAAATGACCCAACTCGAAAAAGAGCGGGGCTACGACGTAACATTTATAAATCCGACTGGAGGTTATGTTATCAAAACAAGTGTCGCCGGCGACAGAAAGGCCTTTATAAATATCTGCAGCAGTGATACCGTTGGCAAACCATCTTATAAGGTAGAGGTAGTGGATGGTAAGAGAGGTATGAACTGGCAAGTGCCATACTCTATTATACCTCCCCGGGATGACTATGACCGTAAAAGACAACGTTGCGTCATTTACGACGTAGTTTTCCATTCGGATACTCTCCGCATGGCGGCGGTTAATAAACAGTTTCGTGAATTGGTAAACAAAACCGCTTTTGACGCACTAACGAAAACTTACAATATCCACTTGGACAATAACAACTTCCGCTGCCCTAAATCCCAATATAAAGGAATGTGTACACCGGCCGTTATTAGAAAAGAAGACCCAAACTATCAACCTCCCGGCGACGAAGAAGACGAACAGTTATCCCCAGAAATGTTAGAAAAGCTTTATCCTCAACAAATTTATGCACAGCCTAAACCTGAAAGTGAGTCTGAAACTCCTAAGGAGTCATCAAAACCTGGAAAAGTTAAGAGAAAAAGTGAGGAATATACACACTATGCACAAAATGGATACACTAAACCAAAATATGTTGTTAAACAACAGAAGAATATTGATCTTCAGGATTACACTTACAATAGAGAGTGTAAACAGTATAGTGCTATTCCTAGTCATATATCAGTTGAAATATACCTTCCTCTTCTGTCATCTACAAAAGACTGTACGTTGGATGTTGAAGAAAAAGCCCTCAGGTTGACGTCTGAAAAACCAGCAAAGTATAAACTGGACATTACATTACCTTATTCTGTAAATGACCAATGTGGGACTGCTAAGTTTGATAAAAGTAAAAATATGTTGATAGTGACTTTGCCAGTGATTAAAGAAAGTCTAAGTAACTATAATGCTAATATAAACTCTTTAAAAGTGGACAGTGGTGTGGAAAGTGAAGAAAATTCTGGTTCTCAAAGCGATGATGATTACAGTCCTTCTAAGTTGGTTACTGAGTTGTCTTCAACTCCTACTGAGACTATTGCCAAATCTAACCTTGACAATGTTGTTCATAACAACTCTGAAACATTCCTGGATTCTTCATTGGGCTATATGTTACCTACTTATACACACAATGTTTTAGATGATATTATAGCTTTTACTTTCCATGTGAAAAATACAGAGCCGGACTCAGTACAAGTAAAAAATGATGGTCATGAAATATATATTAAGTTCACATCCATTGGATCTGGCTTTGTCCCTGTCCACTATGCTGCTTTAATAACATTTGAATCTGATGTAAAATTTGACAATGTAAGTGGAGAGGCATGGGACAACAATGTGATATTACAGCTGGAACTTTCTGGAAATGTTCCTCAAAAGTTCAATATTGGCTTGACTAAAGAGTCTATGAGCTGTGAGTACTTTGATGTGTCTCAGGTTAAAAAAGCTAAACCAGATGACAAGGTGGACAGGGACACTGAAGCAAATACTCCTATAGTTGAAGTCACCAATCTAGGTACTGAGACGAATATAGTTGTGTCTTCCAATCATGATGATGAGGAGTATGATGAAGATGATTTTGATCCAGAAGATAGGGAAGTAATGTTCACAGATTCAGGAATGTGTGAAAATGGCTCTAAGAGTATACTCCGCAAGCCTAACATGATGAGGAGCTTCTCAGAATCTAGTGTTGGGGATGTGGCCTCATCTATGGATTATATAAGTTCAGATTGTATTCCTGAGGAATCTAGTTTGAAAAAGACTGTTAGGTTTAGTGATGTGATTGCAAAACAATTTTATAGGTAAGAGTTAAATACATTGGAATTAATATGTGTTTTGTATGTGAGTTCTAGACAGACACGTTGTAATTAATTCCTATGGATTTATCTTTGTAGGTTATCACATTTACGTAGTGTAATAAAATCCATTGCTGATAACAGTCAAGGCTTGCTTACATTACTATTTTTATTATCATCTAAAATGTTGTATGTACCAAAATGAAAACCATTTCAACCAATGAGAGTGACTCCATACTCTACTGTGTTGTATGTTTCCGATGACTTTGGTCTCTGGTTGTGTAGTTCCAGTCATACTATTAAGGTGTCACCTGCAGTTCTACGCCTAAAGCAACTACTTGATGCTTTACCTTTTATAGGCTTCTATAGAAACTTCCAGCAAGTTTTTACACAAGCTTTGATACTTACGTTAAATCATACAGTCATGTAGATACTCCTTATCTCTTATTTTGAATCAGTCATGTTATGTACATTTGAAACATATAGATAAGATAAAAAACAAAATAAACAAATAGTAACTTTCCATGTAATGATTATTATTTCAGATATAATTCATCCATAGAAGGCCAGAAGAAAAAGAATCAACGTAAAAAGAGCAAAAAGCGGAATCAAGATCGGCGCAAAAGCGAGAGCGAGGCCGAAGATGATGTCACTAATACTTCTCAGGTACATGGTTTTTCTTGCCAGGTTTAATCAAACATTGTTGTCATGGCAGCTTTGTATACATAGCAACAAATAATTAAAATAATAATTATATAGAAAATTTAATAGAAAAAATAATAATAGAAAATTTATTATAAATCTATTGCTCGGTGCAAGGTCTGGTGGTCACATCTGCAACCAGTTTTGGTCAATCGGTCGTCCCCACTGCTCCTTCACGACAACGCGCGACCCCATATTGCGCAACAGACAGTCTCCAAACTGCAAGAGGTGGGGTTGGAAGCTCTCCCTCATCCGCCATACTCACCAGACCTTGCACCTACCGACTATTACTTTTTCCAAAATTTAGACAACTTTTTAATGTTACTAAAAAATTCAATTCCCGAGAGGCAGTACAAAATGCCTTTGAAGAGTTTGTTGCCTCCCGTCCAGCTGATTTTTACAAGAAGGGCATCAATAAACTGCCAATGCATTGGCAAAGATGCGTCGATTGCATGGGTGATTACTTCGAATAACAGAAATAAAAAAGTTTGAAAAAATAAGTACTTTCACTTATTGCATACAAAACGGCTATTTCATAGGTAAAGACCTAATATTAATATTATTTTTGGTTACATCTATACTTATTAGAATAAAAGTATTAAGTGAATATCTAAACCCCATAATCAGTCCAGTTACAATATTTTAAAGAATATGTCTTGTTATACAACAAGTCATAATATTTGCGAAAACCGCTTAAAATGGTAAACATTAATATACTCGTGAAGCATGTATTGTTATAATATTTTCCCCTCGTGGTACATCCTGTCTCCTTTCATGCATATCTGGGAGATTTAAATAATTTGTGTTGCTAGAGCCATACAAAACAAGTTAATGAAAATAAATTTTCCTAATTGCAGCAGCTGGTATAATAGAAATAATTTAATTTAAACATGGATATTTCATTTCAGAATATGAAGTCAGGCTTGAAATCAGTGTTGAAGCAACGCCGGGACAGTGGCCTAGCTGACACATCAGACGCTGAAACTGATTATAAGACTGTATCGTATGAACAATCTTACACAACTACCAGTCAAGATGAAGAAGATGTCTTTAGTAAAGATAGTGACGCAGCAGAGACATTGGATAAAGAAAAGTCTGTTCTAAACATAGTGAATAATAGTAAAGGTAGTGTTACCGACCATTCGGATGCTGGAATATGGGAGTCACTAGAAAGTAAAAAAGACGATTCTGAATCTATTAATTCGGATAGTATTAAACACAACACTGATCTCTATGATCCAGATAAATTAAATAAAGGCCAGTACCTAGAAGTTATGTTTAAAAATGATCTCATATTTGACTTGGACATGTGAGGTTTACCATCTCTCTTCTGTAGTCATCCAATCCTTTTAAAGTGCATTTCGTAGTGTTTTCTTAACCTTATATGTAGAAGCAATTTAAAGAACATCCAGTGATTTTCTTTTGTTTTAAACAATTTACTATGTAGTTTGTAATACTAAAGTATTATGTACTTTTTATAATTTAGATTATGATTGTTGTTCCTTCCATGATTGAGAACCTTTTAACTTGCTAAGTTTATGGCAATGGTTATTTATTATTTGGGAGCAGGTAAATATATTTATTGGTTCTTCCATTGAATTGTAGGCAATGAGTCAAAATGGTTAGTTTAGGTTTCTATTGCATTGCATGTGTGGTTACAAGCAGCCTTGACAACTCAGTTTAACTGTTATTATTTAAAGAAATAAGGACACTTGTTTATAGTTTCATACTTGAATAGAGATTCTAAAGCCTCCCATAATTTTATCTAGTGTGTTCAAATTATGTCAATCAATGTTTAGTAAAAATATTATTAATTGAAATGGATGTTTCATCAGAATTTATTTCAAAATTTAGAAAATGTTAAACTATTAGTATTAATCATGTCACATCTTATATAACTAAAGTAGTAAAACCTGCATGTGATGGTACAAATTAGATTTATGTCACTATAATTGGTTAAGAGATAGGAATTGATTTTATAAGGAAAATTTGCGCCTACCTCTAGCCTAAGTTAGGTAATACACTATTGCACAGTGATGTTCCAATAGAATGCTAGGTTTACACAATGCAATATTATTATTTGAATCATGTGTCGTGAATGCCGGACTGACTAGATGTCCAGAGTAGTGAAAAACTATGTAAGTTATTTTAATAACATTTTTGTAATCAACACCTATAGTTAAACCGCCGTAAGCTTGGCCCTCCTGATGGTTTGGGGGACGCGGGGCGGGGGTGCATTCAACCAATTAGCTAGTGCGTCGCTGTCCGCCGGCAGTGACTGACGTGAAAGCATGGCTGTACGTGTTATTTTTCTTAAGACTGCTACACACGGTATTATTTTGCAACATGGATAATCTGCCGACTCTGCGTCACAAAAACTTACAGAGGTTCTACTGTTAAAGTTCTAATAAAGAATATTTATTATTTTATTTAATTTTTAAATTGTATTTGAATATAATTTACATGATGAAGATAAGGTGATTTTATTAAAAATATTTTACAGTATTAAATTTTACAATTAATCATAAAAACCTACAATACACTGACATTATAATACATGGAAATAAATTCGATATTTTTTACATCGTGTGTAGATTAAATCTCAAACAAATAAATCTGAAGATATCGAGTTAGTGCATCGTGTCATGTATAGCCGAGCGCATCACCCGCCCCGCGTCCCGCAAACCATCAGGAGGGCCAAGCTTACGGCGGTTTAACTATAACACATACCAGTGCCTTTTGTCTTAATGTAAACAAAACCACCAGTGAAATGTATCCGTCAACTGTTGTCATAAACAATGCATTTTAATTTTATTATTTAACATAATAAATGTGGCTGGCAAAAAGTTTAATTCAACATCTATATAAATAACACACGTTCGTAACATTATTTTTTGCCCTTAACCTCGATGGTGTCGAATATTAACATATTTTATAATTTTACGTTCGAAATGTTTAGTCTGAAGATGTTGGATTAAATCAAATGACAGTTTCAGCCATACATAGGTAGATAGGTTTGTAGTGCGAGCGTTCGTACCCGTTATGTTTAATGTAGTTTACAAATTATTTAACAAGGAATGATTGTGATTTTGGTGAAGCTAGTTTAAATACATACATGAAATGATTCCAATCTTGTTTTATTTCCAACGAGATTGGCAACAGCTTCCTAGCAGTCATTCAGACCTTTCTGTGGGTGGTAATACTAATATGACTAACTAGAGGTACTACTAAGAATAATAGATAAACCGCATAAATAGTTATTGGACTTTATTTGGTGAGAACGGAAAACCGTGATTATATAATGAAGGTGGGTCTACGATAGGCGAGGCGAGCATGAACGGAGCTATTCTACTCGTCGCCATTTGTGGCGTCAAGTGTGAACGTACAACAAGCCTACAACGACCGAGCACTTAATGCGAATCCCTTTGTGTACGTTAAAAAATCGGCAATTGGCGGAGCGCAGTTGAGCACGAACCAAATATTCGGCACGCGGTCGTTCGAGGCTTGTAAGTACACAAGTGCGTGTAGTGTAGACTAACTAGTCTACACTACACGCACTTGTGCTCGTCTCGTCTAGCTTATTAAGTAGGTTCTACACCTTTAAATTATTACATGCACAATAGCTAGTAGGTATTACGTACGTCGGCCTTTTGATGTTTAATAAAAATAGAAACTGACTTGACAGTCATCTACCCCATAATATCCGCGCTGCGTATTACATAACGGTTACCTCTACGTCTATTGAATTTCGAAAGTTGTAATATATATCTTGACTGTTATTAGTAGGCATGGACGTATAAAAAAGTCGGACTTTGTCTCGCTACCATAAAACTGTGTAACCCATAATAGTCGGCCAGCTCGCTGTACGTAGAGGCCGGCACGCACACTTACACACATTAGTTAGCCATTATGCGCGCAAACATCGAGGCCCGTATTTTAAAAGACGTCTCAAGTGTCGGTTGAACTCTGATTGCCTGAAACTAGTTTTAAGTGCAGATCAAATCTTAAGTATCGATCTTATTATAGAACGCGTTTTAAGTTTTACTCAGTTGAAACTAGTTTCAAGTATTGATTTGAACTTACAGTCTGTTCTCAATTACGTTTCCGCGTGATTGACACTATTATTCCACATTACGCAGCTAATTATTTAAAAAAATAATTTTCTTTTACAAAAATAATTTCTGTGAATTTGTATATAATATACTATTGCCTAGTGTAGCAATGTTAACATATTAACAAGGTTGTTGTTCGTTCAAAATTAAGTATGTCGAATAATAAATGGAGGGGTTATTAAAAAAAAAGGCAGACCCGCTGACCCAGTTGGGGCCAACGGTTCTGCTTACAATATCATAGAGTTTAATATTCCTTTCTTTGTAACTATTTACAATACGCATATGCAATCTAGTAAAATATTTGTATGAAGAGGTTCAGCAATAAAAAGCAAGTAAATTAAACATCACAGTATTAATTTATTATAAATCAAATTAACATAGTTTCACTTACAATGTTACGCCTTTCGGAGTCGCCAGCAAACTGAGCCTCTCGACTCAATTCGCTGGCTTTTATAATGCACTCCCCGCCATTCCAAAGTTTACGTCACATTAACACGTGGTTTTACAAATACCCACATAATTGAATACCTACCTAATTCTATGCAATGTCATAGTTAAACTCTAATTACAATTGTTTATCAAATCTAGAACTTTGTTATTGAATCAATCTGCGCTTAGTAATTAATAATTTAGAATAATGTTAATAAGTTAATCATCCATTTATAAATGCGGCGACAAGTATAATAAATATAAAAATAAAAATGACTACCTGTATGAATACGCTATAACGGAACGTTCAAGTTATTTATCAACACTTGTCATGTTGAAATGTCAAACGATGTTTTTATTTGATATTTCTAAAATTTAAATTACTATACTTTTAACATAAACCAAAAGGTTGTGGTAATTTAAACTGGTATTGTGTGTGTAAAATGTGAATTTTGGTGAATTTCATATCAATTAAGGTAAATGAAAGTGAAATTGATGATAGTATGCCAAGTAATTCTTTCGTAAATAAAGTAAATCTTTCGTAATTATTCAAAAAGAAATCATCGTAAAACACATTCATTTCCCCTAAATGCCCTAGAAATCACCGCTTGAGACTAGTTTCAGCTTGTCTCACGTAAACAAAGATCACAGCTGTGAAAATCTATACCTGAGTAATGATTTCGACATAAACATCGTTCTAAAATAAGCTATCACTCACTTGAGTATGGATCGGTGAATCTCGTTTTAAGTGACGTTCAATAATAAAATCTCTACTTAAAATTAGTTTTAAGACTAGATTCACGACTGAGACACCTTTTAAAATACGGGCCCGAGACAGCGAGACGCATTACGCGGCGTATTGAAGCGCTGGGCTTATGGGTGACCCTAGGTAAGACGGAGGCCTCTTATTTCATGGGCCCCGTCGTGGTCTACTCCCTGGCGCCTCAATCGCGGTTAACTCGGTCATCGTACCGGTTGGTGGGCGTTGCGTCCGCCCTTGGGTGACTTTTGCTCAATTTGGGAGGACCCAGCGTCGCGACCAGAGCTGTAGGTACAGAGGGGTTGTCGGTCAATGGCACTGTAACGAGCACCGGTGTGGACGGCGGCTCTGACCGCCCTGATTAGGTGCCCTCAGAGGGTATTGGCGGTTAGAGCCATGCGTGCTTACGCCCAAAGAGGCGTGAGGCTGCCTCGCGTTCATCGTCGAGTGGGCAAGACGGCATCATGGGACCCTTCTGACTAACACAGGTCCTTTCTGGTCACGGTTGATTCTACGCTCGGTCGCTAGAAGGGAATTGAGTCTCGCCTGTCATCACTGCAATTGCGAGGAGGACTCGGCTCAGCACACGCTGGCAATTTGCCCGGCTTTGGCTCGCAGTTCAAACCACGATTTCGGGTGCAACCAACGTTCACTTTTAGAAATATATTAAAAGTTTAAATTATACATAGATGGACATTTAGATGTAACTCTTTCGCGATGAGAATAGTAAAAGCGTTGGTGCGCGGGGCCCCTAAATGCGCGGGCTTGTAGCATTTGCCACTCTTGCTACGTGGCCAATTCGCCACTGTAGGTAATATGTTGACAAAACAGACAATACGCTTTTATTTTACCTTTAATTGTTGTATCAAATGAGACATTAGGTATATGTAGTATACACGAAAAAAAAAAGGTATATGTAGTATGAAAAATGATACCAAAATTTGGTATTAGATCTGATTGATGGAGCCGGGAAGTAGCCAGGTAGTGAAACTCTTCAGTGGCAACTAGTAAA